CACACTTAAGTAGGCCTAACTGCATTTTGCACTTAGTAATAATTAAAAGTTAAATTAGAATTTTTACTTTAAAGTAAATTTTAAATCATTGTTTTAATATGATTTTATGTTTTACTTGATTAAACTGTATAATAAGTGCAATTTAATCAAGTAAATTGTAATCAAAGTACTTGAATAATTGTATAATAATATTTATTCATTATAATATAACGTTAATAGTAATGTGTTTTTCAAGATTACATTTACAGGTAATATATTTTAAATGGTTTAAACTGCAACTTCCTCATTACAAATGTGTAATTACAAATATATTTACAGTATGTCCAATACATACATATTCCTATTGAAATGAGGTATATTTTACCATAAATGCCATACCATAAATTTACCACAAATACAAAATTACATATAAAGATGTACTTAGGTCCTACTTAAAGTGTCAAAAAGCACTGTAAAGTTTAGCTAACTGCATTTCATATAAATTTAAACTAAAATACATTTTCATTTAATTGCAAACAATTACATGTCCAATAAAATTACATTTTGGCCAAAGTTTAATGCAGCACAAAAATCAATCCCAGAATGCATTGCATCAATTATTTCATTTGAGTTACCAAAAATACATTTCCGAAGAAAGCAGTTAAATCTAATGAAATAATTGTATTGTTTATATATATTTATACAGTTCTACCAAATATTTGTGTGTGTTATGTACTTTTTAGGCTTATTAGAGTAACTCCATTAGTCAAATTTTGTTGGATTTAAATGTGAGTGTGTGTTGAGTGGTGTGCAGAGTACAGCTGTTGAAATAATTTCTATTTAGTTTAGATTTGCTTCAATATATAGACATGTAGCGTCTGGAACACTCCAACACACAATATATATTTTGTTAGCTAGATTTCACAAATACTTTGTAACACCCCAGGACGCAGTCAATAATCATGCAGATTTATGTTACAAACTTATAGAATTGTACAGTAAGAAGGTTATTTCCTTTAACCAGGAAATTAACGTTCTTAGAATTGACAAGACGGTTGACCCTGAGTGGTCAGCTAAATATCTACAGTGGATCTAAAATATGAATAGTTAATTATAACTAGTTATGGTTAATTATTCATATTTCCTGTCGTTGAGCTAAATTCGCTACAGACAGTACAAACTAGCTTTTGGACGAGAGCTCTTGTGTGAGCTCAGAAAATCATCTGCTCTGAAGAAGGTGAGCTAGAGCTGAAGTCAAAAGGTGGGGTTTAGGAAGTAGAATGACATACTCGGCTCAGATTGCGTTTCATCTGTCCCAAAGGCACACAACAAGACTTCCTCTGCCCCTTTCCACACTCACAGATGACCTTGGAGTTGATAGGACAGCAGCCAGAATCTGACAGTCGCAGGTCATGGGAGTAGTTTATGTAATGCCGAGGGACTTCGGTGGGTTATAGTGTTACAGAAGTGAACAAGCAGATATTGATGGCTTAGTCTCAGTTCTGATTGAAGTAGACACGCACCGCATAACTCAAACACAGGATGTGGAGGGATAGCGCTTGGGTCGGGTCAAATCCGCCTTTCTGGACAATAAACGTAAAGACTTGTCTGTGTTCTCTCATCTTATATATTTGATCACATCTGATTGTTCCAATTAATCATTTGCGTTTGGTAGGCAGCTTGAGGTGTAACAGAGACAAAAAGAAAAAACGAAAGCTCCCACAGAGCCCGCCACTGACCCCGGGGCAAAGAACTTTACAGATGATCCTCAGAATTGTAATTTAGACTCGTGAAATTATTCTGCGCAAACTGCGGTTCCTAGGGGTGTAAACGAGTACCAGAAAGGGTGAAAACACACAAATTCATCATTCCCAGCAGCACTTCAAAGCATGAAATTGATCTCCCACTAATATCACTGTAATGTGTTTTCAGACAAACTGTCTCGAGCAGTTTCTTGCTGTTCATAATGCAGCTATTGAATAGAAACAAAGAAGCCCATTATATTCCTTAACAACAACTACAGTCAAAATAAAAAACGATATTATTTTTAAAGAGGTGTACAACGTTACTATAGGGCATTAAAATCATATTTCAATATGACACTTTTTTTTCTCGCTTTCTTGTGTCTACACTTTAGATATTGATAGTTGTTATTATGCGTAATGATGTGTGCATTCATTTAATATCTTAATTTAGATTACTGAAGAAGTGCATGATTTTAATTAGCACAAACTTTTTTTTTCTAGAGTTTGCAAAAGTACAATAAAGTTTTTCTCATCATCTTAAGATATTGTGAAATATTAGGCTCTTCAATCCAATTATAAGTTAGGAGAGAATGGTATATTCTAGGTTTATGCCAAAGCGATCATATATTAATAATAAAATATAATCCTATATCAATAATATTGTATGTTGTATCAATATTTTAGATCTTTGTATCAATATATATATATATTTGTTTACTGCATTATTAAATTGTATTTATTTAAATATATTTCAATAATGTTTTATAGGAATACATTCATTTTGAACTCTTTTTTTCTTGATTTTTTTAAATGCATAAGTTAAATTTATGTGTGAAATTTGAACTAACAAACTATCAGAAAGAAGTGCTATTTTAATATTATTGAGATGCTATAATAGTATCTTATGGTATAGTTCTATTATATTTGTTGTTAATATTCTAAATTTTATTTTTATATTAATTTCATTTATATATATATATATACAAGTTTCATGTATTTTGCTGTGTTTTTGTCATTTTTGTTTGTTTACAGTATGTCTATACAGTTTTATTTTAGTACATCTAGTAAATACATACGATATAGTAAGTTAATCTAGATGATAAATTTTGCCTTGGAAATTAATAGAAATAAAAGTAAGTTTTTAAAAAAATATTTTATTTCAATTAACATTTATTTCAAGTAATTTCTTACCCCCCCCCCCCTCCCCTTTTTTTTGTTTGTTTGATTTAACCTGAATTTTAAATATACCTCTGTTTCAATGGAGATAAAATCATGATACTGTATGTTTCATACTGTACTGAGTCAAGACATATTGTGATTGTGACTTGAACAGAGGTTTCAGGACGTACAGAACGGCTTCAGGTTTGCTATTCTGTTGAAGTTTCGACATTTCCCCCACTTCACCCTGTTGTTTGAAATGTAGCAACAGCACACCATTCCCAGGGAAGCGAGGACTAATTCAGTGAAGTGGAATGAGGAATTGCTGTTGCTTTGACAGCCACGTCATAAATATTGACTCCTACAAAACTGCTACATTTCCTGCAGCCCTCCTGCCGTCTGCACGTCCCGCAACACTTTCCGACAGCTCTGGCCATTCCCAAATCCCAATCCATCCTGTTTGTGTCAGTCAGGTGTCCGAGAGTCCCAGCTGCTCCGCAGACCTGCTGCTGCTGCTGCCGCCGGCACCATGTGTGAGCTGCCAGGTGCTTTTCATTTCAACCTTAACGCTCTCCAGAGACTCTCAGAGGGGTTACGTTAGGTCTCACCTGAGCTAATTGGTCCTTCAGGGGGAAAAGTGTGAGAAGACATGCTATATTGCTTTAGCCTTCAACTTCTTTTGATTGATGGCTGACATGTAAAGGTCTAGACAGAGTGTGTACATGCTCGGTGTTGGTATAAAATACATTTGATCTTTTATGTGGCTCTGATGAAGCTGCAGGGAGTACTGCAGCATCTCTGTACATCTTTGAGCTTTGAACAATACATTTGTGTCTGACACATGCAGTGTGGCATACATCTGTCTCAGAAACGTGACATAGGAAACTGAAGATTGTACATTTTCACCAAAAATAAAATTTTGGTATAATAAAGACCCAATATAAATGGGTTTCCTGCAGTGTAACATGCTATATTACAACTTAGTTTTATTTTAAACATTTTAATTTTATTCAATGTTTTATTATTATTATTATTATTATTTTCAAATGTATGCATTCATATTAACTCATTAATAACTACATTGAAAAAACAATTCTTGCTTGTCTTATTTTCTGGTAAAAAACAACAACAAAAAAACGAATTTAATTGAGAAGCAAAACTGCACAAAAATAATTCAAAAGTTTAACAAAATATAGAAAATAATAAGAAATAATGGGACAAGAAATAAAGAAATATTGTAATTATTTAATCCTCAGTACATTAAAATTAATCATTTTAACAAGTTTAGCTGTTTGTATTAAAATAAAATAAATAAGAAAAAAAAATTAAGTGATTTTTGCACACTAAAATTAACTAGCGTACTGAAATTATTTCAAACCTAAAAGAAAAAAAATGCAATTTCAAGTAGCACTTTATATTAATGCAATAACTAACAATGAGAAATACATTTGTCACAGTATGTATTAATGTGTGTTGACATTAGTTAATAAAAATGCAACCGTTCATTTTTAGTTCATGTTAGATCAGGTCCATTTAATAATAATAATAATTATTATTATATATATACTGTACACACACACACACACACACACACAACATACACAATGTTTGACTTTAATAATGTATTTGTAAATATTAAAATTACCATTAATTAATATACACTTTACAAGTATTTGTCCTTGTTAGGTCAAGTTAACTAACGTAGTTAAGTAATGTTAACAAATCAAACCTTATTGTAAAGTGTTACCCAATTTCCCTTATATTCAATTTCACGTTGATAAAAAAATATATGGTAATAAATTTAAAAATAATATTTCAATAAAAATAAATTAACTACGTCTACTATCCAAATACACAAGGCATGCTAAGGTCATTATCAGCAGAGCTGATGATTTCATTTATTTGTTTATTCCTGATTTTATGGTACACTTCTATCTAGGTCTTGTATAACACATCTGGAATTACGTCAGTCTCCAACTTAACCTTCATTGAACCACTTCACATAAATAACCACTCATCAACTGGATTTTTTGTATACACCATTTTGTCACACCATAGAGGTGAACGCAGCTGAAATACACGGCGGAGCGGGTTTAAATGCCCTTCAAATGTACTTACAGTTCACTGAGGAAGTGCAGGTCGTGGAAAGCGTTGGGCTGAATCTCACTGATGTTGTTCATACTGAGATCCCTAAAACCAGAAGAAAAGCGAGAGAAACAGAGAGGTCAGAGGCAATGACAATCATATCAGTGTCAGACATTTTCCTTCAGAAATCAAGAAACGTACATCAAGAAACATTCTCAATGTTGAAAACAGTTGGGCTGCTTCATATTTTTTTGGGAATTTTAAATGTTTTCTTTTTCTTCAGGATACCTTGATTAATAGAGAGTTCAAACGAACAGCATTTATTTGAAATAAAAATACCTTTATTGTTAATCTATTGAATTAATATTTGCTTAGTTTTAGCATTATTTTAGTATAAATTGAATGATTAATTTGTTTAAAAATTGTACTAATCCCCAACTTTTGAATGGTAATGTAAGTCATATTATAAATATATGTACATTTCTTAAAAATAAAAATACATTGCATAAAAACCAAAATGTCTTCATAATCAAACATGAAATGTATTACTATAATCATGAACTGCACAGATCCAGCAATATGTAAAATTACTCAAATTAGACCCAATAAAGAAAAATAAATAATTATGTGAATGATCCCATTTAAAAGTTCGTAAGACTATGGTTATACAGTTTGCATTTTATTACTTATTTAGCATTGTTTTCCCTGCTAATCAGACCAGAACTCTGACTCATTTTGGAACAGTTGAAAACCACTGATTTGTTTAATTAAGGTCTGCATGTTGCAAAGAAATATAGTGATACTTAGTTTATGAGTTTATGCTTGAATAGTTTATGAGTTCATTAATTTACCATCATGGCTCCATGGTCACATATTTTACCTTTCCTGTAATCGCTGGAGCTTTAGACACACGCTCATGATCATTGATCAACAGTACGATATTCATTAAGCTCTAAATGCAATCAAGATGAAACGCTGCACAATATTGATTATACTAGAGTAATTATGAGTAATCCAACACAGTTGAGCTCACGTTTCAAATGAAAATTAATCGGTTGGCTGGCTTCAAAAACACAGCAACAATACGACCCTTGATTACGACATGTGAAATCTGGCCTTGTGCTTTTTATTATTATTATTATCATGGATGCCTCTCTCAATTTCCAGTTCAATTAATTAATGGAGTGCAGAGTTTGTATGTGATTATTACTTCAGCTGTGCCAATATAATCTAATCAATAGTGTTGATTATAAACCCTGCCTGATCTAGACAACACCTCCAGTCAGAGACCTGGACAAACTCTGAAAAATGAGAGGCTCTGGCTTTGACAGTTTCTTCCGAAGGCAGCCAAGAACCCTCTGAATGAAACATGTGGACTCTCATATCAAAGAAAACCCACACCTGCACATTTTACCATCCATCAGAGAGGAAGAGTGGAGAGGAGAGGGAAACAAAAAACAATAAAAGAGGAAAAACTTTCCACTCTGAATTATTGTTCAACAGATGTAATTTCCTCTCTGGTTCCAGATGTTTCTGCCTTCAGTCTATTCAAAACATCCTGATCATCTATTATTTTTCACTTCTAAATTTGTCCATCAAGAGACATTTCGGGCTCAGGTACAGTATATCTCTTTATTTTCACTCTCATATTTTACCCATCGGCCCTAGTGTGTTCTGAAGTCTTAAATGACCTTTGACCTGTGATGGTTGTCAAAGTTTAACTGATTAGCATAGTCTAATTAGCTTTGACCCTGCTGATATTGCAGATATTGTGCAAAATCCGCTGTGTTATTTGAGTATAATTGATATACTATTATAGTATTATGAATTAGCTTTTGTTATCAGTTTTCATTTTTTTAGTAAGACTTTATAATACGGTTCTATTTGTTAACATGAACTAACAATGAAAAAGAGTAATCTCAGTTAATGTAATTCATCTCAGTTAATGTAATTGAACATTTATTTAAATCAAAAGATGTATCTATTAGTTAATTGACCTATAAGCTAACATGAACAAACAATAAACGTTTGTCATTTTTATTAACTAACATTAATAAATACTGTAACAAATAAATTGCTCATTGTTAGTAAATGTTAGTTAATGCATTAAATCTTCCCGTAAAACGTATTTTCTTTGAGTTTTAACATCTAACATCTTGGTTTCTGTGTTTGTTTGAATCTTTATTTGTTTGTTTGTTAGTTGGTTGGTTGTTGATCAGCACTTGCTGTATGTGCTTTCTAAATTACATAAACATACAGGTGCATCTCAATAAATTAGAATGTCGTGGAAAAGTTCATTTATTTCAGTAATTCAACTCAAATTGTGAAACTCGTGTATTAAATAAATTCAATGCACACAGACTGAAGTAGTTTAAGTCTTTGATTCTTAGACTTAAACTACTTCAGTCTGTGTGCATTGAATTTATTTAATACACGAGTTTCACGAGTTGAATTACTGAAATAAATTAACTTTTCCACAACATTCTAATTTATTGAGATGCACCTGTAGTTGTGTTTTTGTTTAGTTTTAATTAATTTCTATTTCAGTTTTAAGTCATTTTAGTACTTCATCTTAAAGGGGTCATATGATGCGATTTCAAGTTCTCCTTTCTCTTTGGAGTGTTACAAGCTGATTGTGCATAGATAAGATCCCTGAAGTTGCAAAGACTAAAGTCTCAAAACCAAAGAGATATTCTTTATAAAAATTAAGACTCTGCCACGCCCCCCTAAAACGAATCGTTCTAACAAGCCCCCACATATCTACCTCACTATGTGGAAATATTAGCATAATACCGCCCAAATGTGCACGCAAAGAAAGAAGGTGTGGTTTCAGGAACCGCAGTTAGTGTTGAAGCAGCATGTCAGGGAGACGCTGTGTGTTTCTAGGTGAAAGCAAAAGCACTTTATTTGGCCTTCCGAAAGTAGATGCATTTAGGAATCTTTAAGATTACTTACAACAGAACAGCAATGCATTTTATGGACGACCGTTTCATGAACCTAGGAGAGGAGGTAATTCTGACTTTGCTATGACAATCTGGCGCTTCTGAATCAGCTACTGTTTTGTTATTAGTTTAAGTATTTGCTATTGACTGTTCAAATGCGGAGTTCTGCGCATCATATGTGTGTGTGTGCGCGCGCGCGCATGTGTATGTGAGAGAGAGAGAGACCAGCTTCATCACTGTGTCTGTCACGTGACTCTGTTCCCCTTTTGGGCTCTGTCTTTACATTTATTTTGAAAGCTGAAGCTCGCGATTATGGTAAGGGGCGTTACATTTCCAACGAGTGCTTGCGGTGTTCGGCCAATCACAATGCACTGGGTCAGCTGGCCAATCAGAGCAGACTGCGCTTGTCGGAAGGAGGGACTTTGTAGAAAACGAAGCATTTGAGAGAGGCGGGGCATAGAGGACCTACAATAATGTACAGTATTTGAAAATGAATGTGTTTTTTGAACATTAAAGCATGTCAACATATTCTGTTACACCAAATACACAAAATAATGATCTTTAAAAAAGCATCATATGACCCCTTTAAAATTGTTCAGTTAGTTGACAAGACAACAGTTTAAAATTGTAAAATTACTTCAGCTTTATTTTAATAACCAAAAACATTTTTTTAACAGTTTTAGTTTTAGGCAAAAAACCATCAATGTCCGTTTAAAAGTAGCTGTGTAATCTTAAAGGGGTCATATGATGCGATTTAAATTTTTCCGTGTACAGTATGTGGAAAATAATGTGTTTTTTTAACCTTAAACCGCATAAACACATTTCATTACACCAAATATACACAATAATGTTATTTTTAGCAACATCATATGACCCCTTTAACGGACCATGTATTCTAGTATATATTTTACATTTCTTATTTGTTTTTCTCCCATCTGCTTCCTTTGACATCCTATTTTAGCTTGTCACTCAGTACATTATCTACCCCTAAATTTTGCATATTAATACATTAATTTTATGTCTGACAAACTAGAATAAATTCACATGCACTTTAGACATAACCAAGCAAATATTCAGTAACTACAGTGCTTATTTCTCATCAGAAACTATTCGCAGGTTGAAGAAAACTACACAATTAAAACCATTCACTTCTTTTAGCAGCTCTGTCAGGTGCCGTTATTATTCTTTCCACCAACCGCACACACAAGATTGAGGGATACCATAGACGGCTATGTTTGCGAAGGCAGCGTTTTTCAGCTTTCAGATCCAGCCTGATGGATCTCAGTAGTGTTACTCAACCTACAGGTGTAATAAATTATTCAAACCGAGGGTTGTGTCACTCCAGAAGTGTAACAGTGCTGCAGTGTTAGTCTAGAGCTAAGATGAATTGGGAATGGGCTAAAGTGGTTTTACTGCAAAGTCCTTGAACATCTGAACTTGAAAATTTTTAGCAAGGTTTTCATTTAGGCAATGTCGAGTCGACATTGATGCAACCAAACTGCAACATTACTTCATTTGTTGTCCCTGGAGGTCTAGAACAGCCAAGAGGGCAGCTTCTCATAACCGTAGACCACCAGGCTTGAGAAGATAAACTGAAAAGTCTGAAAATATTCATCACAGAGACTTTGATACTTGGCTATTTATTTGTTTTGTCAGCGTGTCAGCCATGACAAGGTGAAAAGCTAATTTGCTGTAGATGGGGCCTGGAAAACTTCACTCAGAAAAAGAAACGGATTGAGTTGACCTGACCACCGCTGTTTTCCACTGACATGGTGGCATGGAATGCAGTCAACACAAACTTGTTAAACTGGAGGGAATATTTGGGTTTTGAACTACTCCCAATATCGCACACATGAACTGGTATTTATGGCTTAATGAGCGTTTGCCATCAAGGTGTTGATGCAGCAGCTACATAGGGCTAACAGAATATTGAATCTTTATCATAAAAAAAGATTTATAACTGTGTGAAACACGTCTCACACCTAGCAGACACATGCAAAATATCAGCATAATCTGTGCACTAAAATAAATATCAAGAAAGGCCCTTTCACACCAAGAACTATAATTATAAAGATAATAATAAAGATAAGTAAAAATCATTCAAAATTTAAAAGACTAGCAGAGTCCACACTAAAAATATAACGATGATGGCACATAGAAACA